TGTTTGTCTTATTCTTCTAGAATGCCCATTATAGTTGTTTTTCTTGCATATATGCTGCTCTTTTAATTATAATTTTTATCTTGGATTTTTTGCTTGGTGGTCTTGGAGAATTCCTTTATTCTAGTTCACTTACATCAGTATCCATTCTGATATTCAGTACCTGTATTGAGATTTTAATTTTGTCAATCACATTCCCTCCTGCCCCAAGAACTCTCTTACTCAATTATTGTTCCTTCTGATTGTAGGCTTCGTTTATTTTATCAGTATAATATCCTCTCAAATCTCACTAGAAACTCTAATTGTAATTTTAAAATGTTGAATCTTAACAGATTCTGAGTTAACACTTTCATGAAAGTCATTCTGTGTACTATCTTTGCCTGATCCTCCTGTTTTCCTATACTTCTCATAAAAAGGCACTTTTCCATTGTAAGCTAATATTCCCAAAGGTTTAGACTACTCAGGGTGGCCTTTTAGATTGCATCGGATTTCATTTCTTATCTGAAGACCCCTGCAACTATCCACTAGCTAAATGGATTTTTAGATCCTGTTGTGAAAATCAAAGTCCCAGGTTTCTATGTGTTTCCTCATAAAGAAAAGGATGGGGAATAAGGCTGGGGCCAGCAATTCTACAGACAAGGCTCTGTCTGGATGAGGTCTCCACTCTTTTAGTTGCTTTTTCTTTGACTTCTTTCTAATGTACCTCCTAGAAAAATAACTGTTGCCACTAGCCAAGAGGTTCCTCCTCTGGGACTACTAATCCTCAGAGTGTCTCCTCTTGGCCACTTTTGGCTGACTGGCCCCATCTTCAAACCATGGCCTCCGTGGCTCAGGTACAGGGCTTTCTACCCATCTCTGAATAGCCAGCTCTTCCAGATTTTGCTCCTCCAATCTAAGAAAAAGGTACAGCTCTTCTCAAATTATTTCTCATTTCTACCCGGATCACTGAACAGTGTCTGTTGGGCGACGCGGCAGAGCCCTGGCATCAGAAAGTAATCATCTTGAGAGTTGGTAAGAATGACTGACAACACTACAGGTTTGAGATAGGAAAGTGTTATTGGAATGAAGGAAAACTGCAGTAGAGTTCAGCAAGGTGCTTCAGCAAAACACGACTGAGTGTGCTGAGATGGACTTTTCCTTAGGGGTGACTCTGGACCTTAAAGCAGGAGCTTAAGGGTAATTTGGACCATATTAGCCACATAGATCGTAATAAATGATTACATTTGTAGATGTCGTGGGCCCTGATTTCAACAAGGGTTGCACAAAGAGTTTCAACATGCATCCATTCTGGAGACGTATAGAAATTCTAGCTACTTACGAATTTGGGGGAAAGAAACCTGGAACCAGGTGCCTGATTTAGATAATAGGAAAGTCCGAATGACTTCTAAATTCCTCAGGTAAGGAGTTTTGTCTCTGGATGGCGTCCTTGCTGGGCACCAGGTGATCTTTTCGCTTTTCAGTGTCTACAAAGCCATCTACTCCCAGTGCCTTCTTTTGGTTATAAAATACATTTTGCTGTCTCTTCCCTATGATTTCTGGATAATATTCTTTGGATTTGTGGTATGCAGCTCTTAACTTTGATAATTTTTTTTTCTTTTTAAATTTACTTATGTGTTTTTGTTCATTTCCATGGTTTGGGGGAGTTGTAAACATATGGCATGTATGCCATCATCTTTCCAGAAATCTGTCAATATATGATTTTTGCATGAACCTTTTATGGGATCTCATGAGAGAAACAATGTACATAATCATATGTAAAGAAAAGCAAAAGTATTTTACTAAAATTAATAATTACCAATATGCTGCTATTAAAAGATGTTTGAAGTGGAGGTATATGTGTGTGTGTGTATCTCCACTCCCAACATCTTTTCTGAGCTTCACATCACACTTGTAAATGCATATCTGCATGGGATCCTCAGACTTAGTACTATCTTCATCAACACTTTACCTAGATTTTTTAAATGTAACTTACAATAACAGCTGAGACCCTGATCCTACCACTTACAAAGCAGTTGAAAGAAAACCAGCTGAAGCTCCCAGCCTCTTACCCAATCACATGTAAACTAGGGTAAATTAAAAATAGAAGAGCATTTTTGGAAGGAGCTTTGCTGCTGCAGAAATATGGGAGTGCTTTCCTCTCATCTCAAACTTAGGACAGGAAGCTGAAGAGGGACCACTCAGAAATCTCAATTTGCCTCCATTGGAACTTTGGGAGCACGGAGGACAGGTCTGTGGCTCCTTTGTGGCTCACTGTTGGGCTAGCTGCTTTGTGTGAGATGAGTTGCCACCCGGGGCATAATCTGTCCCTTCCAGTGTTTGTTGGAGCAAAGAAACTTTAAGAGTTTCCATGGGCCTGACGTGGATCACATGGGAGAGACTTCTATAACCAGATGAATGGGGAATCTGGGAGGATAAGGGCTCCAGCAGCAAACAAAAGAGAGAGAGAGAACAGTTGCAATGAAAGAACACACTTCACCAAAATCAAGGGAACCAAAAATGGAATGATCGGCCACTAAATATCAAAAAGACTGTCTTCCCTCTTCCCCTTCCCCTTGCATTTCTCCCCTTTATTTTGCTTCGCTATATTTTCATAGCATTTAGCTTCTAACATTTCAGATAATTTGCATATTAATTATCTTCATTTGTCATCCTGGCTGTGGAGGGCAGGGATCTTTGCGTATATTGCTCACTGATAAACAGAAGAGTACTTGGGTCATAAGAGGAGCTAGAGAAATATTTCTGGAATTTGAATAGGAATTAAGTTGGAATCTCCAAAGAGCAATGAGACCACACATGAAAGTAAACATTAAAGATCTTTCATACCCAGAGATCCCCAGGGTGTGAGCATCATTATCTAATATCAGCTCAGGAAGACAGTTTCTTGTCTTGTCTCCCCTTTCTGTTCCCTCCCCACATGGAGCTACAATTCTGGAGAAGTCAGAGGAAGCCTAGTCAGCAGAAACCAGGAATAAAAACCTAAGAAGAGTTAATAGAGGTGAAACTGAGTCCTTTCCTAATATACCTAGCCCACCCAAAGAACATCTGAGCTAAAATAAAGAGAAGATTTGGCTGGGCACAGTGGCTCACACCTGTAATCCCAGCACTTTGGGAGACTGAGGTAGGCGGATCATGAGGTCAAGAGCTCATCCCGGCCAACATGGTGAAACCCTGTCTCTACTAAAAATACAAAAGTTAGCTGGGCATGGGGTTGTGCACATCTGTAGTCCCAGCTACCTGGGAGGCTGAGGCAAGAGAATCACGTGGACCCAGGAGACAGAGGTTGCAGTGAGCTGAGATCGTGCCACTGTACTCCAGCCTGGGGATAGAGCAAGATTCCATCTCAAAATAAATAAGTGAATATAAATAAACAAATAAATAAAAGATTTAATCATAAATAAAATTCAGAGTTTCATTGTTAGAATTACACTCGACTAAACATGTTCAAAAGCTGGATGGTTTAGAAACTATAAATAACTGGAGGAATGCTAAATTACCTAAAATTAACCTGAAATGTCACAAAGGCTGCAAAAGATTTATCCAAACACATCCAGGGCTTTGAATAGACAGTTTCTAATTGCATTCCCCAAGTTCCCCCTGTTTTACAGACCAAAGGCATTGGCATAGTAAAACGTCACCTTCTTCTCACTTGTAGTATTTTCCCTACTGTGAAAATTCTGGCTATCCTTTAGGGAACACATGTCTGGAATTATTTCTTCTATCATATCACCAACAATTCAAATCCAGGGTCTATTTCCAATAGCTCCTTCTTTTCTAGCATGTTATAAATTGCATAATACCTATTAAGCACTTAATAGATGTTTGATGGGTGAATACATGATAGGACATCTTGAGATCAAAGATTAAAAGTCTCTAGAAACAGCAAGAAGGACAAGCTCTGTATTCTGAAATGTGTGTGCAAGTTAAAATTTGGTAAGTAAAATGGGTACATGTTCATTTTGTAATACTCAGAAAAAGTCCAATCAAGTTTTCTTGAATGGATAAATGGATGAATTAATGAATGCTAACATAAGTGATATGTGAATAAATGGCTGCATGTACATAGGTACGATAAAAAGAGACACACACTTTTGTTGATTTATTTAATGTCAATGAAATAGATTTAGACATTTGTCCCTGTTTTTCATTTTCAGATGATCCTTGTCTTTGTACTAAGCATCGGGTCTCTTATAATCTATTTCATCAATTCTACTGAGTGAGTACAATGTCCAGTCATGCTTGTCTGCTGTATCAGTATGTTGCTCAGCTAATTTAGAATTTTCTCCTCAGGAATAATGCTTAATATACTTTCACACACACACATGCATGCACACATACACGCTCATAAAAAAGAATGATGTGTTTAGCTTCCCCCACTAAGCACTAAGCTCAGCTCTGCACAAGATACAAGAGTTTCCTTGTATCCTATCACCTTCCACTGCTAGGGGTCAGGGTGTTGTGCAACCCCCACCCCTGATTTGCTCTGGAGTCTCTGGAATGCCAGCCTTCGGCCTTCTTTCCCTCACTTAGGCCACTCATGAAGGTTTCATATGCCTTTGGTTTCCTTAGGTGCTGGAGTAGAAACTCTGTTGTAGTTTCAGAGTTCCTCATAGGTTTCAAGCAACTTTGGATGGTATTGAGAAAGGAAAATGCCAGCCCTCACCTGTGACAAAGAAGCAAATTGTTGACTGACATCCTCTGAAAGCATTCCCTTTGTATTTCTCACAGTTAGGGCAGCTATTTTGGACAAAGCCTGATCTAATTTGAATTCCATGCCAATCACCTGGGAATTATATTGGATTTCTAGCTAAAATGGAATTGGGATTGCAAGGCCACAAAAACCAGGCAACTATAGAGAACCTAGGGGAACTGGTTGTTTGCATTGTAAATTCCTAAGGGATATTTTAGGAGATTTTCTTTGAATTTAGCTCATATCAATCCATTTGACCTAGAGTATCTCTATATCAGAAGAGAACAAATGTCGAAATATCCTGACCAGATAGATGTTCTTGCAAACCAAGAAGAGCCCCATAATCTCTCTGGCTCTGAATCCCCATTGTTAAAATGGAAATAAAATCAATACATCTTATGAAAGAAATTGTGGGTAATTTTCCTGTTATTTCCAGCTCCATGGGCAGTCCGCTGGTTTTGTTCATGCATTCCTCTACTCCCAAGAGAAAAGCAATTTCCTTGAGATCTGAACTTAAGTGTCTGGAATCATGGTGAATAACGAAAAACTTTCCTATTCTTTTTCTTTAGTTAGTCTTATATAGACAGTACTTTAAAAATATTCATCTTTGCAAACTGTCCTTATTTCTTTTCCAGCCCTGTTAGAAGCTGTTCGTCATACGAAGACACAACCATCCCTATTGATTTGACTTTCAATGCTTTCTTTAGTTTCTATTTTGGATTAAGAGTAAGTACCTTTCAAAAGTGGGAGTAAAATCCAAACACCACAGGCACAACATACAGAGAACTAACTGTGCCTCAGTTGGTCCTACACGCTGCCCAAGTTTTCAAACTCTGAAGATAGATGGTCTGTGCCCTAACTTGTTAAATATATACTGATACCTAAAAACTCTCTCTCCTGCATTTGAAACAGTAAACTAGGTTAAAAGCTTCAACAAAAAATGAAAATGGAGCTGAAAAACACAACGTGAGAACTTCACAAAACATACACAAGTTTCAGTAGCTGAATCGACCAAGCAGAAGAAAGGATATCAGAGATTGAAGATCAACTCAATGAAACAAAATGAGAAGGCAAGATTAGAGAAAAAAAAGAGTAAAAAGAAATGAAAAAAGGCTCCAAGAAGTATGGGATTGTGTAAAAAGACCTAATCTATGTTTGATAGCAGTACCTGAATGTGACAGAGAGAACGAATCCAAGCTGGAAACCACTCTTCAGGATATTATCCAGGAGAACTTCCCCAACATAGCAAGGCAGGCCAATATTCAAATCCAGGAAATACAGAGAACACAACAAAGGTATTCCTCAAGAAAAGCAACCCCAAGGAACATAAATGGCAGATTCACCAGGGTTGAAATGAAGGAAAAAATGCTAAGCACAGCCAGGGAGAAAGGTGGGGGTACACAGAGTGGGAAACCCATCAGACTCCCAGCAGATCTCTCGGCAGAAATCCTACAAGTCAGAAGAGAGTGGGAGCCAATATTCAACATCCTTAAAGAAAAGAACTTTCCACCCAGAATTTCATATCAAGCCAAGTTAAGCTTCACAAGTGAAGAAGAAATAAAATCCTTTATGAACAAGCAGTTGCTCAGAGATTTCATCACCACCAGGACTGCCCCACAAGAGCTCCTGAAAGAAGCACAAAACATAGAAAGGAACAATCAGTACCAGCCACTCCAAAATGTACCAAATGGTAAAGAGCATCAACACAATGAAGAAACTGTGTCAACTAATGGGCAAAACAACCAGCTAGCATCAAAATGGCAGGATCAAATTCAAACATAATAATATTAACCTTAAATGTAAATGGGCTAAATGCCCCAATCAAAAGACACAGATTGGCAAATTGGATAAAAAGACAAAACCCACTGGTGTGCTCTATCCAGGAAACTCATCTTACATGCCAGGACACACATAGACTCAAAATAAAGGGATGGAGGAAGATTTACCAAGCAAATTGAGAGCAAAAAAAAGGCAGGAATTGCAATCCTAGTCTCTGATAAAATAGACTTTAAACAAACATAGATCAAAAGAGACAAAGAAGGGCATTACATAATGGTAAAAGGAACAATGCAACAAGAAGAGCTAACTATCCTAAATATATATGCACCCAATACAGGAGCACCCAGATACATTCAGCAAATTCTTAAAACCTACAAAGAGACTTAGACTCCCGCACAATAATAGTGGGAGGCTTTAACATTCCACTGTCAATATTAGATGGATCAACGAGACAGAAAATTAACAAGCATATCCAGGACTTGAACTCAGATCTGGACCAAGAAAACCTGATAGACATTTACAGAACTCTGCACCCCAAATCCACAGAATATACATTCTTATCAGCACCACATCACACCTACTCTAAAACTGACCACATAATTGGAAGTAAATCACTAATCAGCAAATGCAAAAGAACGGAAATCATAACAAATAGCCTCAGACAACAGTGCAATCAAATTAGAACTCAGGATTAAGAAACGGATCTAATTAAACTCCAGAGTTTCTGTACAGCAAAAGAATCAATGATTAGAGTGAACCAGCAACCAACAGAATAGGAAAAAATTTTTGCAATCTATCCAACTGACAAAGGGCTAATATCCAGAATCTACAAATAACTAAAACAGATTTACAAGAAAAACAAACAAACAAATCCATTCAAAAGTGGGCAAAGGATATGAACAGACATTTTTCAAAAGAAGACATATATGAGGCCAACAAACATATGAAAAAATGCTCATTATCATTGGTCATTAGAGAAATACAGATCAAAACCAAATTGAGATACCGTCTCATGCCAGTTAGAATGGCATTCATTAAAAAATCTGGAGACAGATGCTGGAGAGGATGTGGAGAAATGGGAACACTTTTACACTATTGGTGGGAGTGTAAATTAGTTCATCAATTGTGGAAGACAGTGTGGTGATTCCTCAAGGACCGAGAAATAGAAATTCCATTTGACCCAGCAATCCCATTACTGGGTATATATCCAAAGAATTATAAATTGTTCTGTTATAAAGACACATGCACACGTATGTTCACTGCGGCACTGTTTACAATAGCAAAGACCTGGAACCATTCCAAATGCCCAATCATGACAGACTAGACAAGGAAAATGTGGCACATATACGCCATGGAATACTATGCAGCCATAAAAAATGATGAGTTTGTGTCCTTTGTAGGGACATGGATGAACCTGGAAACCATAATTCTCAGCAAACTGATACAAGAACAGAAAATCAAACACCACATGTTCTCACTCATAGGTGGGTGTTGAACAATGAGAACACATGGACACAGGGAGGGGAGCATCACACACTGGTGTCTGTTGGGGGAGACTAGGAAAGGGACAGCGGCAGGTAGGGAGTTGGGGAGGAATAACATGGGGAGAAATGCCAGATATAGGTGACGGGGATGGAGGCAGCAAACCACATTGCCATGTACGTACCTATGCAACAATCCTGCATGTTCTGCACATGTACCCCAGAACCTAAAGTGCAATAACACATATATATATATATATATATATATATATATATATACATACATATATAAATGAAAATGATTCTTTTGTTAAATGCCATCATCGTGTTGCCATGACCTCCTTACTGGATTCCTATCTTTACTAATAATGACAAGCTAGCAGAACTTAGTACCAAGTCTCTGGAGATGTCCTTGATTCCACTGGTGGCATGCATGCAACATAAATATGGAAAACAATTTTGTATCTTTGTTTTATTTTGCTACACTCATTTATTAAATATTTATCTCATTCTAGAAGCATTTATTAAGACCTGTTCTAGATCTAGATTTCAATGTCATTATTCCTTCCATGTTTGTGGGAGACTGTGTATACATAAAATATACACATACATGTATGTATATATAGGCATGTTATATATAAAAACATATCTTTTTTTTTTTTTTTTAAGAAAGAGTCTTGCTTTGTCACCTAGGCTGGAGTACAGTGGCATGTTCTCGGCTCACTGCAACCTCTACCTCTCAGATTCAAGTGTTTCTCCTGCTTCAGCCTGCCGGGTAGCTGGGATGACAGGCACCTGCGATTACAGGCACCTGCAACCGCGACCAGCTAATGTTTGTATTTTTGGTAGAGACAAGGTTTTGCCATGTTGTTCAGGCTGCTCTCAAACTCCAGACCTCAAGCTATCAGCCTGCCTTGGCCTCCCAAAGCATCTACATAGCATATAAATATTTGTGTCTGTATATATGTAAATAGGAGATCAGGGCTCCAGTTGTAAATGGAGTAAGTAAAATGCCGCTGGATAATGGTATCCCTTGTGTTCTCTTTTAAATTCTTAAGGGTAATAGAATTTGTGTTATTCTGCTTCCATTTCATAGTTTATGGCAGCTGATGACAAGATCAAGTTCTGGCTAGAGATGAATTCGATGGTAGACATCTTTACTATCCCACCAGCCTTTATTTCTTATTATTTGAAGAGCAATTGGCTAGGTACGTGTACTGTGGGAACTGGGAGCAATATCCATGAAAAATAAAAACTCAGCATTCAAGTATCTATTTTTCATTTTTCCTTAATGCCTGACGTCATTTTAAAAACCTCTCACCTTAATAGTATGGTTTTGTAATACAGTTGCAGAAACCATTTTTTTACTTCAACACATAGCAGTGCAGCAGGCACACAGCAGGTGTTCAATAGTTGTTGATGGCATTGGCTGCATTTGTAACGTGAGACGCAAGCCTCCAGCATCCCATTCTCCTCATAGCACCTTTATGCTGGGATCCCACAGAACAGGGGGAGATGAAAATCCTCCCTTTGTTTTTAAAAGCTAGTCATCATCTCCATATGTGCTATGATATTTTAATTGTTTAATTAGGTGTTTCGTCTTTAAGGCGGATGTGTTGACAGTGCATGAATATTATGTAGCTTTTATCAGTTTCATGTCATTTTATATTATCTATAAAATAAATATGAATTCTATTCCTTGCTAATATTATCATGCCACCTAAAGAAAAACATTGTACAAACATTGTGAAGCATATCATAGAGATTTTATAGTCAGAAGTTTAAGTGGTTAAGGGTAAATTTGCTCTCCGTTCTAAAGAAGAATTAAATAGAGTAAAATGAATAGTCTCCATAATATGTGAGGCACGCTTCTACATGCTTAATATGGATGCAACAACTCTGTGAGGTTAGTACTGATATAATAGCACCATTCTACATTTTACATTCCCATCTTACAGATAGGGAACTAGAAAAGTCGAGGGGATTGCCTTAGGTTACAACAGCGTCAGGGATAGTATTTGAACTACAGGTTATGCTGTTATACCTATCACGAGAGTAAATTTGGAACATGTCAGGGAGAAAAAGAATGCAAGCAATTTCAATGGCGTTATAAGGTAGGCTCCCTCTGGGGTGACCCTCTGATTTTGACAGCTTTCTTCTTTCCATTGGTTTGTAGGTTTAAGGTTCCTAAGAGCATTGCGGCTGCTGGAACTCCCTCAAATCTTGCAAATTCTACGAGTCACCAAGACCAGGTAAGTAGTCCTGACCAAAGTACTGCTTACATACTAGTTTGGATTAGAAAATGAATGTATTAACTGGACCTCAAACTCAATACATGTCTTTTCAGAATGTCAGTGCAAAGATCATGAAATTTCTCAGCTAATAATATTTAGCTGAGACAAATATTTATTTATAAATAAATATTTATAAAGAACAAGATAATATTTGTTCACATTCTCCCATTATATTACATCTTGCATTAGCTGAAAACTTTGCAACCATTTTAAAGAGCTGGTTTAGTCTTTGTTTTGTAAAGCTATGGTATATAAATTTATCTAGGTTTTAATTCTAGGTCCCTCCACCAAAAAAAAAAAGTCAAAGCAATTCAGAGGCATTGGTTCTACATATTTGACTCATGTGTCTCCTAGCTAGGTAAAAAAAAAAAAAAGAAACAACTCTTCAAGCTTTGGAGTATAATACAATTCCTTAAAGCATAAGTTACCCAGTAGCAGCAGTGAACTATTGCTTACGGAAAAATAGCACCTAAGTATTTCCAGGCAACAGCAAGAACGTAATCCAAACTACCTTTGAGCATCAACACTTGTAAAATTTTCAGCAGTTTGGTCTGTTACCCACTCAAAATCTCCATACCTTGACAATAAAATTAGAAGCATCAAATATTAGAGACCATGTGGATTTCACTGCTAACGTGTTTATGAATTACAGAGAAGCTGGAGGAGGAAAGACTTTTCCTGTGTGACAGGTGGTGCTGCCTGAAAACCATAGAGATCTTAGCTAAATTCTAGGGCTCTACTTAGCCGACAAGGGCTCCTCTAGTCCTTCTTCTCTTAAAGACCCTGTTATCAGTTCAGCAGCCTGAGTGACTTTACATTTTTGTGTCCCGCTCAGAATTTTGTTTTGCAAATCTGCTCCCTGGATTTCTACTCCTTAGATTCCTGGCATAATGCATTGTATATTATTATGTTGGACAACGTAGCAATCTCTATGATCCACATGTAGTATATTTTTAAAAGTGATGTGAGGCCAGTGGCTATCACAGCAAAATTCAAATTTTCCAAACAAGCATATGGGACTAGGCGAGTTTCAGAGCTGTGTTTCTCAGCCTCTAATGAGTATATGAGTCAGGCAAAGAATCTTGTACTAATGCAGATTGGGAGATCGGGGTAGTGCCTTGGATGCCACATGTCAAATATGTTCTCGGGTAACGCCATTCCTTCTGGTCCATGAGCCACACTTTGTGTAGCAACATCTTAGAGGATGAGGTGTTTATGTTGTTCTGGACTCTGTTAGAGAGACTCAACCGCTCTTTGTCTTTCTTCCTCTAGTAACTCAGTGAAGTTTTCCAAACTGTTGTCAGTAATTCTCAGTACCTGTTTCACAGCTGCAGGATTCATTCACCTGGTAAGCATCTCATCTTAATCCCTAGTGGTGTCTGTTGTTACCAGCATCCTTTTATTAAAAAATGGAAGGGAACCTGCTGAGCCCTTATCTCCATCACTGTAAGCCAGTGAGAGGTGTGTCTTTTTACTTCCCGTTATCAGGTTTTCATTACCTCATAGTCTCACAAATATGCGTCTCCTACAATCAAGGTATCTCTGCTCCCTCTTCCAACTTTCAAAATTACTCTTAGGGAAGACATAGTAAGCTCCAAAGGTATCAGCAATAGATAAAATGTAGCACTATATCTTCATAAGCTTAGAGTCCTGGGCCAACCAGGGGAGTAGCAGCTGTTAGTGTCCCTGTAGAGACCTCCTGGTCACCACAGGATGCCAAAGGAAAAGCCATTACGACTTTTTTCTTTTTCCTTTAATAGCTGTTTCAATGAGAGGCTCTAAGGCTAAGTGTGGCCTACAATTACAAGCATATTATTATATTTGACCTAATTATGTTTTTATTTTTTGTTTGCTATTTTTTGTCACTTGCTGACTTTTAAAAAAAGCTCACATAAAAATCAAATGTCTTATTTCTTTGGGAAAATATAAGCTGCTAATTATCCCACTCTCCCAAGGCCACCAACAGCCATAGCTGAAGAATAGTTTCTCCCTATGTACAGCAGGTGCTGCTGGGTATAACACAGGCTCTGCCAGGCCTACTTATATCCTTATATTCTTGCTCCAGTCCTCCAAGAATTTGAGCATGTTTCCCTGCTGGACATCTGGTCTTCCAGGAAAGGAGACCTCCAGCAAGGACGTAAGCACAGAAAAAAGGAGAAGCAATCAGATGCCTTATGAATTAAATGATGCCACTTTGAACCGTAGCAGCTTGTAGAACATTAAAAAACTAAAAGAGCTATATCCCAGAGAAAATAAAATAGCAGATTTTATTGAGAGGATATTTGAAATGGCAAGCCAAAATAAGAGCTATGGTTGTCCTAATTCACCATCTTCCTGTTCTCACACTATCCTTCAGCGAAAAGATGATATCATTCAAAGATGAATTTTAACTAGAAAGGAATCAATATGGTGCCTGTGCCTAAATTCTGCTAAAAGTAACTAGAAGGTGTTTTGGAGCAGAGCAACACTAGTATAATGGAAGTTATAAAATAAAACAGTTATGAAAGCAACAATTTGATAATTTGTCCAAGAGAACAAAGGAAAAGTTAAGAGAAAAAAGCCATTTATATTTTAAAAAAATACAAATAAGTTTTTTAGAAAAACTAAAAGTGATGCTTCATAGAATATTTATAAGGTTTTAACTAAGGGATTATTAAACAATAGAAGGAATTGAAAGTGGGCCAAAATGTACCAGAGAAAAATAAGAAGAGCATTACAGAGCTAAAAACCACATTAGAGGGAAGCAAAATGTAACAAATTTGACAAAAACACATTCAGAAACATGATGGACAGGACTGGAGCAAAAATCTTGACATGGAAAGTAACAAATATACTCAAATGTAAAGAAGAAGGAACATCAAAAAGGGCAGTATTGATTCAACCTACTGTAAATATCGTTCGTGTCTTACAGAAAATAAGAGAACAAATTGCAGCAGAAAAGTGTTTTAAAATAAGGTGTTGAACTTGTAAAGGATAGACTATATTCCAGGAGAGATGATTCTAACTTATTAATTCCAATCATATCTTGGAGTAGTTACTGACATTCAGGGATAAAAAGATAATCCAAGCAGAAAAAAGCAAGGTCTATACAGGGGGAAATCAAGGAGACTAACTTCAGATTTCCTGGCAATATTGGTCAATACCAGAAGATGATACAGCAGTGTCTATAAAGTTTGCATAAAAGAGAGTATAACCTGTCCTGTCATTTAAAGTATGCAAGCCGAAATGCACCAGCAAGGTTCTTTTGAATCTGTATTAAAACTTAATGATACAATTCAGACACATAGAAAATCAAGGAAAAGAGAATTGAAGAATGTGGAAGCCATGGTCAGAAGTAGTGGTAGTGGTCGGGTGCAGTGGCTTACACCTGTAATCCTAGCACTTTGGAAGGGAAAGGTGGGCACATTATTGGAGCTCAAGGGCTGGAGACCAGCCTGGCTAACATGGCAAAACCTCATCTCTACTAAATATACAAAAATTAGCCAGGTGTGGTGGCAGGTGCCTATAATCTCAGCTACTTGTGAGGCTGAAGCAGCCACATCACTGGAAGTCAGGAGTTTGAGACCAGCCTGGCTAACATGGTGAAACCTTGTCTTTACTAAAAATACAAAAAATTAGCCAGGCATGGTGGCACACACCTGTAATCCCAGCTACTCAAGAGGCTGAGGCAGGAGAATTGCTTTAACCTGAGAGGTGGAGGTTGCAGGGAGCTGAGATTGTATCACTGAACTCCAGCCTCAGTGACAGGGTGAGATTCCATCTAAAAAAAAAAAAAAAAAAACCCTGATAGTTTGGCCAGGCCTGGTGGCTTATGCCTGTAATTCCAGTGCTTTGGGATGCCAAGGTAAGGGAATTGCCTTGAGGTTGGGAGTTTGAGACCAGTCTGGGAAATCCCATCTATACTAAAAATACAAAAACTAGTAGGGCATGGTGACAGGCACCTGTAATCCCAGCTACTCAGAAGGAGAATTGCTTGAGTCCAGGAGGTGGAGGTTGCATTGAGCCAAGATCATGCCACTGCACTCCAGCTTGAGTGACAGAGCTTGACTCCATCAAAAAAAGAAGAAGAAGAAGAAGAAGAAGTACAGTAGTAGTAGTGATTACTGAATGGATATAAAATAGAGCTAAGACATAGCCAAGGTAATTATCATTACAGACTAGAATGTAAGGTTCACAATGTGAAAGTAATATAACTAATATAAATGTTGATGGGCAGGTAAAAGGAGTTGAAAGAGTGCCCTCATATTCTTCTTCTTCATAGTGTGTCTTATCTAAAGTTGAAACAAAGTTTAAAATAATAAAAATTCAGTTTTGAAATGTAGAGATAAAATAGATAATAATTCAGTCTCTTAACATTAGTCCACAATACTTTATCCTAACTGTATTTCCCACCTTGGACTAATGGATCAATGCTAATATGGTTAAGAAGAAAAACAGTATAAATAAGTAGACCCACAGAAGCCTGCCAGCTTCCTTCCTCCATAAACTAAAGAAATACTAAGGAAGTGGAAAAGGATTTGAAATGCCAAATTATTATTCCCAAGGGCAATTAGTTAAATTTTAAAGCATTCTTTAAATTATTGTAAAGGGTACTGTATTTTCAGGTTAAAATAAATTTAGTTTTACTTTGTACATGTTGTGCAGGGATAATATTGAATCCCTGTATTATGATGTTGTAAAAGACAATATGGGATTTTAGCTCAAAGGGAACTGTGCCAATAAATACGAGTGATTTAAATCTGTGTGACTTAATTTTTTTTTTTTTTGTAATATACTAGTCTTGGAAAATAGTGAAGACTCCAGAAGTCAGTGACTTTGCAACAATATCCACTGCTGGCCATGAGAGTTAGAACAGAAATGTAATCCCTTTCTTACTTCTGAGTGGAATACTATAGTAGTCCACACTCTTAACATGCTCATTAAACTTAAGAAAGGGTCAGCACTCGGCAAGTCACTTTTGAAAAGGGAACAAATATCTGAACAAACCACAGGGTTTCTAATTTCCATTCCAGTTCTTAACAACAAAACAAAAAAACCTACTTCCCCTAGTCAGACATCTCTAAGATATTATCATCTTTTGTGCTAAATGGAAATGGAAAATATCTAGAAAATATGTGAGATGAAGAGGAAAAAAGGCCTAAAAAGAGAAAACAAAAAAAATATTTTATTATAAACTGTACACATATATAAATGTATGTTATATATAATATATAATATATTGTCATGTAATATTTTACATACATTTATAAGAAATTTATATATGATATAAATGTCTAAGTTACTTCATTTATCTAACATAAAGAGATAATCTGATAAATTTAGTTTTCTTGAAAGGTGAAGGCCCAAAGGAAAAATCAGAGAAAAATATTTTTAATTTTTTTTTTTAATCACTGAAAGGACCATCATGCAAAGAGGGAAACTACCTGGAAAACCTGTTTATTTTTTCTTAAGTACTAGCATTCTATGTGCTTAAGCTCACTGAAATGAAGTGCACATTTATGTGCTTCTTTTCTTAATGATAACCCTAACCTGGTTAAAAAGTAAGAATAGGTCATAATTGCTCAATCTGAGATGAAAGCCTTTGGAGTTCCCTGGCTCCTGGATGCAATGCTTGTTCCTGCTGGAAGAGAGCACAGAGGCATCTGTCCCCAGTGGAGCTTTTCAAGTGCTGAGCTGGAGCCACAAGGCCCCTCAGATTTTGGCAATGATTATAGCTAAGGAAATCAAGACTTTACAATTACTACCTATGATTTACAAACTCTTCCATTTATGGAAACTCTTCATAGCAACCTGAAAACCACTCAGTATGTCATTTGAATTGAATGAAGTGCAATTAATCTAATGTTTTGCCTATTCTCTAAAATGTTTTCTTGGACTCTATTCAGAGACCTTTCCTGATTCTTCTCTCTTTGGACAGGTGGAAAATTTTGGTGATCCCTGGCTCAAAGGTAGAAATTCACAGACTATATCATATTTTGAATCAATTTACCTGGTCATGATGACAACATCAACCGTTGGCTTTGGAGATGTGGTACCCAAGACATCCTTAGGACGGACCTTCATAATGTTCTTTACCCTGGGGAGTTTGGTGAAGAATATTTTTAATATATTTTGAATATAGCTTCATAAACCAGAAAACATTTGGTTAATGATAATCGATGAAGCAATTTAGATTTAAGAGTGAAAGTTGCATTACTTGGGGAAAGTGCCGAGAGCAAATAAAAACATGCACAGGTCCCGTATTTTCCAAACTGCAACCCCTGGAACTCAGGATAAAATTGCTTGGTTGCCAGGGATGAAGGATGGCAGACAAAAGAAGCAGGCTTTCCTTATTAGGCTCTACATTGATTTGAGCAAACTTATCTTCCTTCATAGTTTGCCCATAAAATTAGTCTTTCTTCTAAAAAGGAAGCATACTTGAGATTTAGTCTGAAGAAAATTCCATTTCTCTCAGCCCAAATGAGTAACCTTTCACCAAAACAGCATTTAACTTTAGAGACGTGAACATCTGTGCCTGGCTTATGAATGTAGCGAAGGCAAAAACCTCCTTTTCTTTTAGTGGCTTTCATTTCAATTTCTTAAAAACTACAACAGAGGTCTCCACTTTTTGATATCTACCCATCCACCATCTCACATCTCTTCATTTTAGTCATTGTCTCTTAACCCTCCTCTGTCGCATATGCTTTAATTTTCCCAAGCCCCAAATAGAATAAAGTCAGAGGGAGAAGGGAAGTTAAAAGTGATAAAAGGAGGGCCAGGTGTGGTGGCTCATGCCTGTAATCCCAGCATTTTGGGAGGCTAAGGCGGGTGGATCACCTGAGATCAGGAGTTCGAGACCAGCCTGGCCAACATGGAGAAACCGTATCTCTACTAAAAACACAAAAATCCACTGGGCATGGTGGTGGACACTTGCAGTCCTAGCCACTTGGGAGTCTGAGGCAGGAGAATCACTTGAACCTGGGAGGCTGAGGTTGCAGTGATCCCAGATCTCGCTACTATGCTCCAGCCTGGGAGACAGACTGAGACACTGCTTCAACAATGAAAACAAACAAAAAAAAAAGTGACAAAAGGATAGGACATGTGGGGAAGTCATCTTGCCACTTTTCTTTGCTTTCATCATTTTGAATGCATAAAAGCCTTATATTAAATTTTAACAAAATCCAAAGGCTGATATAAGGAAGAAAAACAGTGTCAATGCTAACATGGTTAACATGCTATTATGTGCTCTTAGATGACAGAAAGTTTTATATACCCTCTTTTTCCTTTCTAATCTTGAAATTTTTGGAGTATCCATCAAAATAATGAGACCTAAGTTTTTATTTACTGATCAATTTTAGATATTATTTGCGAACTTTATACCTGAAATGGTGGAACTGTTTGCCAATAAGAGGAAATACACCAGTTCCTATAAAGCACTCAAAGGAAAGAAGTAAGTCGTGTTTTAAGTAAAATTTCTACAGTTTGAGAAATTCTGTTAGCCATATATCTCGTTCTAGACATCTATTTTCTAGCTTAGCTATAGAATCCAAGTTAAATATATCAGTAACATCCTTCATTCACTGAAAAGAACTATGCTAAACTAAAGACCGTAAGAAAATATTTGCTATTTGATACAAACCACTACATAAACGCTCATAAGAACACTAAGTCAACTAAAATTACAGATAATGTAATTCACTGTTAATAAATATTATTGTTGGCATTATTTGTGCATTCCTTATCACTAACACTTCCCCTACAGCCATTACCAATTGTCTTACTCATTTTCCTTGTATGGGTAATTTACAGCTAACTTTACATCAGACTAAAGCCATGATTCCAATTTAAAATAATTAATTTCATTCCATTTTCTTAGCCAAAGCTCCACCAAACCATCTGGGGCTCATTTATGGATGAGGATTTGCCAGCATGATTAGAAGTTTCTACCCTCTCTTCTACAGCGCCTCTTAGATGACTGATTTTTTTCTTCTCCATGCCACAGCCATGTGTTCTCAGGAGGAAAATGGAATGGAGTTGTTTTTATAATATTTATTTTTTATAATGTTTTTATAATAAAAATAATAATAAATGTTTTTATAATATTTATTTTGTGGATTTATGTTACCTTAGTTTCCATTTGGCTTTTTTTCCATCTAAGACAAAAAGAATGAAATGGAGATCTTAAATTAGATGTGATCCTTTTTAAAATTTAGTTCCTGTCTGCTGTAATGAAAGAGGCATAATGGAGACAGACTCCTTCGAAGCAGCCTCTTAATACAGTTGGATGAAAACTATAACTGATCTAGGACTATAAAGGGAAAAAGAAAAATATGAGGAAATGAACAAAAAATAAATAAGAAGCAATGAACTTACCTAGATAAGCCAAAATCTGTCCTCATTTGCCTCAGGAAAGGCCCATGGGGCACATACTAAATCAGTCAATAAGGTTTGGGAACTTTAACATTAACTTAGGCTAAAATCATGTTTTCAATAGCTCCTTTAAATGCATTAAACCTAAGAAAATTTTTCATGACAAAAACTATATACATAGAGCTCTGCACCTGTCTTCAATGTTTCTCCACTGGGCTCACGTTTTTTGTAACTGCTAGATATTTGTACATGTGGAAAATAAGCTGAAACAACTTGGAATGTGTTGCTTTCTCAGCCATGGTATTTGGCTGTGGAAAAAATTATGAACTTTGCTGCTTCTCAAGAAAAAACACACAACAACAACGAAAACTCCATATCAGACAACTAAGAATCAAATGAAAACTGGAATGAAAAGTCTATTATAAGCTATAAATAAATGTGAAATGTCTAGCAGTAATGATAGTAACTCTTGCATTCTTAAAAAGCTAAGTGCAATTTAAATGTTTGGAGTCACATTCTACTTTATGAGATAAAAGGCTATGGATATCTGATGTTTCTTTTGTATTAGAAATGCAGTCTTTAGTGTTACTATGTTTAAAATCTGGGTGATGCAAATACCACATTTATTGAAAACCAAGTTTAAGCTAACTGTCCAGCTCTAAGTGCTGACAGGAAGGTGTTTGTGTTTCTCAGATGATCCACCTCACCTGTTCTTGCTGTCTAGGTTCATTGTGGTCTGTGGAAACATCACGGTGGACAGTGTGACTGCTTTCCTGAGGAATTTCCTCCGCCACAAGTCAGGAGAAATCAACACCGAAATTGTTTTCCTGGGAGAGTAAGTATATCTGTATGGCTCATGGTTCTAAATTAATACTTAAAATATATGTGAATATTTGTATTGCAAGAAAATTACCTTCACAATATTTATAGAACATTTAGGAATGGATCATAAACAAAAGGAAAAGGAATATCATGACCACAGCTAATCTCTGCAAATATTTTGAAATATATCTTGTCAGATGATTTTCTGCATAAGTACTAGTATGATTTAAGTGATTATTATTTGGCATTTAGGTTACTCTACACATTATTATCAGACATGACTTCAATCTTCTGCAAAAGCCTGGTGCACTTTATAATTATTATTCTGTTAATTCTTAGAATTAGAAATGTGAAGCTCAAATCAATGCAGAAATGATTCTTCTTGATGGTGTTTTTGTTCTATTCAGTCTACCTTTCCACTAGCAGAGTCAAAGTCAAATATTTTGTCAAGCACTGGGAAATACATATTTAGTAAAGAAAGATTTTAGATATAGTTTAAGTATATAAAGTGTTTTCTTACATTTTCATTTTATAATTTTCAATTTAGTGAGATGGACTCATTTATGTTTTGACTGTTGGCTTTTCTTTTTGAAATTTCCCTTTCTTTCTTTCTTTCATTCCCTCTTTTTAGATGAATTACCTGTTGCTTTATTGACTTTTCTACTCAATATATGTTGATACTAGTCCTTTTGTTTTATATGTTATACATGTTATTCTTTTTGCTTTCACCTTTTAATTTCTCCTGTGTTTTTATTTTCTTACAGAAGTGTTTGATTTGCATGCACTCCATTCAGCTCATTCTTTTTGGCTCCTTGCTTTACTGAAATTCTCTGGCCTCTCTGTTTTAGAATTAAGTTCACATTCCTCTACACTTTTGTGTTCCTAGATTGTAATTTTTGGAATTTAAGATCCATGGAATTGCTTTTGCCTGAAGTGTAGAGAATTAACTTCTTTATTTTTCACAAATTATTAATCACTTGCCCAAATATCATTCACTAAATAAGTCAGCCAGATTTGAAATGATATTTTGATCTTATGCAGGATTGTATATGGGATGGCCTCCATCTTCATGCACTGTGTAGTTGAGCACTCTACTTTCACATTATGACATGTTCAATTCACCATAAATTTGAGCCTTCATGTATATAATAACCAATAGCAGTTTAAACCACTCTATGATGTTACTGCAAGCCAAGAATTCTGTTGAAGTAGCATCACTGTGCCCATCTTTCTAGCAATTTGTGCATTATTTGAATTTTTTGTTAGCAAACAATAAAAACAAAAAGTGCTAAAACTAGGGATAAGAAACTAAGTATTATAATCCAATTGAGATAGACGGGAAATCATTAGATATGTGACATGTTTTATCCACCTTTGCATTTTTATGGACTAACATGCATTATTGTATTTGCTTAACCAAGATAATGAATAAAAATTTTTTAATGGTGAAAATATAGAAAGTATCTACCTAGAATTTGTGAATTTCATCTATACTCTGATAACTCTGAAAATTTACATCCTTATTAGACATTCTTTGTGGCTTCTTATATTTATACAACTAATTGCCTTCTGGATATTTTCACTGTAGTATTATGAAGGCCTATCAAGCTCAACATTCTCAAAAGTGCACTCATAATCTTGTGCTCCCCTTTCTATCTCAAAGGCAAGCAAACAAAAATAAAAGAAGGAAGGCAAACAACATTTTATATCCTAGTAAATGAGACCTGATTAATATATTTCCTTAAAACAGAAAACTGAGTATGTCTCTGATACTCCTGTCTCCCTCAAACCTTATATACAATTTCATCAATACCATTAATTTTGTCTCATATGTAAATCCTAATTCTATTTCTACTATTTCTTCTCCACTCTCACAACCCTATTCATAGTTAAATCTTGTCTTCTCAAAATTTCTCTAAAGGTCACTTTATTGGTTTGTTCTTTGTGCTCTAAAGCTCTTCTCCCTTGATATGACCAGTTATTCCCATTCTTCAACAGAGAGACATTCCCTATGCCTTCTATCTAAATTGGTGTTCTGTAATTTCCTTCTATCTCATTACTCTTTTATTTCCCTTGAAGAAGTTATCACAATCTATAATTGTGGTAGAGTTTCCTTCAACACTGCTGTTAACATGCCCTCCTTTTACTATATACTCATGCCCCTTCTCCCATTTAAATGTGAAGTTTCTTTCTTCTACCTTTGAATCTGGGTGACCTGTGGCTTGATTTGATAAATACAACACAGAAGATGAGACACTTTGCTACTTCAGGTCTAGCATTTAGGAGGATTAACAGTTCCAGCTTCCACTTAGAGCCCTGAGTCATCACGTAAAAAGCCATACTACCTTGCTGGAGAGAAGGCCCAGTCAGCTGTCAGCTACTCTATTCATATAGCTGAAGCAACAGTTGTGTGTATAGCCACTTTGGACATTCCAGTTCCCTGTCAAGCTCCTGGATGAATGTTCATATGTAGACAGCTCTAGTCAACAATATATGGAACAGAAGAACAACCTGGCTAAGACCAGCCAACCTACAAAATCGTGAATATAGTATGTTATTGCTGTATAAGATCAGTCATTTCTAGGATGATGTGTTTTGCAGAAATGGATAATTGATACAACAAGTGGTACTGGAAGTGAGGTGCTACCACACCAAGAGCCAAAATGTGGGCTTTTCCTTGAAACTGGTGGAGACAGAGACCAGCAGAATTTCATGGAGACTCAGTAAAGGCTGGAAGAGCAATGAGGAAATTACTGTTGGGTACTGGAGGAAGAGCAGTCCATGCATGGTATCAAGGCAGAATGAAAAAAAGTCAAGAGGAAAAATGACCTCAGAGAGAAAAAAGTCAAATTTAGGGTGCAATCCATAACATTTGACCTCAAGGTCAAATTCAAAGATTCAAGCTGTAAGATCATTTGTTAAGACCTCAAAAAGATTTAAGGTGGTGACTTCCAGAGGCTCTCAGTAAAGCAAAGGGGCTGCAAAGAAGCTTAAAGATGTTCTTCCCTGAAGCCTTACATTGTCAAGATGGAGAGAGATCTGTCTCCAAGGCATCATGGACCTGGCTTTTAAGGGATGACATGAACCCGAATTAGGTTTATAGAATATTCTCAGTGCTTTAAACAAAAATTTTCTGATAGCAGTCCTACCAACTTGAAGTAAAGGGAAAGAAAGAGATCAAAATGAAGAAAAAAAAAGTTTCTGAGCCCAATTTAGCACACACAGGAATCAGGCAGAGAAAGCTACTCAAGCATAAATATTGGCCTTTTATTAAAAAAAGGGAAGGATGATGACTCAGGATCAGAGGACAGAGAAAAGAATTATGGACAATAGATTAACTCAGGAACACAAAACTGGGCCATAATTGAGAAACATTCTCTACTTCTAATAACATATGCTCAGATTTCAGAATTTCTGTGGACCCGTGATTTCTTGGTGCCCTCCATTACAACCCCCACAGCTTTTGATGGGGCTTGTCTATTACATTTTTTCTATCCTTGTTGGTGTCATCATGGTGTGTTGGCTGTTGTAGTGGGGGTAATCACTTATCCATTCAGTTCACAGGTCTTCACATCAAGACTAGACATGTTAAGGAGCTCCCATCCAGGTCTAGGTCTAATTTAGATGACAGGATCCTGGACATAGAGCCGATTCTCTAAAGACCTCAGACCACAGAGTAATCAAATTAGAACACAGGATTACTCACTCAAAACCACACAACTACATGGAAACTGAGCAAGCTGCTCCTGAATGACTACTGGATAAATAATGAAGTGAAGGCAGAAATAAAGGTGTTCTTCGAAACCAATGAAAATGAAGACACAATGTACCAGAATCTCTGGGACACATTTAAAGCAGCGTCAAGGGGAAAATTTATAGCACTAAATGCCCACATGAGAAGCTAGGGAAGATCTAAAATCGACACCCTAATATCACAATGAAAAAATCTAGAGTAGCAAGATCAAACAAACTCAAAACCTAGCAGAAGACAAGACATAACTAAGATCAAAGCAGAAATGAAGGAAATAGAGGCACAAAAAGCCCTTCGAAAAAATCAACAAATCCCGGAGCTGGTTTTTTGAAAAGATCAACGAAATAGATAGACCACTAGCCAGATTAGTAAAAAAGAAGAGAAAGAAGAATCAAATAGATGCGATAAAAAATGATAAAGGGGATATTACCACCAATTCCACAGAAATAAACTACCATCAGAGATTACTACAAACACCTCTATGCACATAAACCAGTAAATCTAGAAGAAATGAATAAACTCCTGGATACTTACACCCCTGCAAGACTAAACCAGAAAGAAGTTGAATCCCTGAATAGATCAATAACAAGGTCTGAAGTTGAGGTAGCAATAAATAGCCTACCAACCAAAAAAAATCCAGGACCAGATGGATTCACAGCCAAATTCTACCAGAGGTGCAAAGAGGAGCTGGTACGATTCCTTCTGAAACTATTTCAAACAATACAAAAAGAGGGAATCCTCACTAACTCATTTTATGAGAACAAAATCATCTTGATATCAAAACCTGGCAGAGGCACAACTAAACATGAAAATTTCAGGCCAATATCCATGATGAACATTGATGCTAAGATCTTCAATAAAATACAGGCAAACCGAATCCAACAGCACATCAGAAAGCTTATCCATCACGATCAACATGGCTTCATCCCTGAGATGCAAGGCTGGTTCAACATACGCAATTCTATAAACATAATCGATCACATAAACAGACAAAAACCACATGATTATCTCAATAGATGCAGAGAAGGTCTTTGACAAAATCCAACAGCCCTTTATGCTAAAAACCCTCAATAAACTAGGTATCCATGGAACGTATCTCAAAATAATCATATGAAATGGTTAACCATTTATCTTGACCATTTTTATGCTGAATCGTTAGTCCTTTTTTATCTGAATACAATATGATGTGATTTATGTGATTTGAACCTTTGTCAGGTATATACAAGATTATTTCAGGTTAAAAAATCCACCAACTCAAAGTT